GTTAGTATGGTTTGTAGCTCTGATTGGAATGCTTTGCTGGTGAGGAGGGCATTGTTGAAGCGGTAGAAGCTCTTGTCTTTGTATCCCTCTTTAGTGAGTCTGATGGCTAGAGTTATGGCTTTGTGGTCTAGTCCTTTATGGTATCAGTTGTTGTGAATGGTACAATCTTGTATGGCTCCTGTTAATGAGTCTGAGGCTAGGAAGAAGTCGATCCTAGAGAACGATGTTCTGCCCTGTGAGGTTTTTCTGATGCAGGAGTATCTCTTAATTTCAGGGTATAGGAGCCGATATGGGTCCAGTAGGTTTTTCCTAATCATGAATTTGTTTAGTTCCGCGCTGTTAGTTTGGGGTGTGGGATCTTCGAAATGAGATATTTTATCTAGATTGGGGTTTTGAACCGAGTTTCAATCTCCCATAATGATAGTGGGTAACGTGTGGGAATGAGTTGTTCGATTGAAAGTAGGAATGGGGTTTTATCTTGTGGTGTGTTCGGGCCATATATGCCTATGAGGGATATCTCTTCTTCCTTGAAATTGATGTCAAGTTTGATCCATCTACCTGAGGTATTGTCTTGATTGACATTCTGTATTTTTAATGCTTCACTGGCTGGAAATTTTTGATGTAGGAGGATGACAGTTCCTGCTGATCCATTGTCTGCAGCTTTGGACCAAAAGGGTGTTTTGACGTAGGTTAGTTTCCTGATGAGGGCTAATTGTAGTTTGTTGTGTTCGCTGCTGTTGGTTAAGTGTGTTTCTTGGAGGCATGTTATGTCCGGGGTGTTGGGACTGAACCAACCTATGGTTTCAGTGAGGTTCCTCCATGTCATTGGGTTGTCTAGTATGGAGGTCAGGCCATTGATATTCCATGATACGCAGGTGAGTTCGGGTTGTTTTCTGGTTTCCTTGAGAGTGTCAGCTTCAATGGTGGGTCTGAATCTTTTTGCGTTGTTGTTTGTCCCACTATCCGGTTGGCCGTTGGGGTGTTCATCCATTACTGTTTGTAATGGTTAGCTCGGATGTGGGACTATTGATTGACGCAGGTGGCGGGGTTGGGGGTCTTTTTCGCTATCTCTTCCTTCTGCTTTCTCTTCTCTTCCTTCGTCTCCTTTTCCTTCTTCAGCTTTTCCAGCGTCTCGTCCTCATCCTTGCCCAGCCTTTCCTCCCTCATGAAGGCGGTTGTGCTGAAGGCAATTCTGTCGACTTCATCGTTGTGACCCAGCAGTGAGTAACGGATTTTGCTGATCATCTCCCAGGGTTTCCATGTCAGGCCCTCCCTCAGTTGGGCTTGCTGGTCATATAGAACCAGCACTGGTCTCAGGTCGCTGTAGTGGCTTTCCCCGCTGTCGTCCTCCCAGTACACATCCAGGCCGTCCTGCTCGATCACTTTCATGGCCAGGGGGCGATCATTGAGATGTTTGCCCTTGCGAAGCTGGGACGTTTGTGTGAGTCTTGAGCTGTGATAATGCTCAATGAGTGTCGGACTGCAATCTGCCATTCCTTTTTGTCTGTGTTGTATCGGAAGGGCAAGTATGGGATTGTGGGGGAGAGGGTGCATGCGTCAAGTGTGGCTGCCACTGCCAGATCCTTAGGGTTTTGGTCTGCTATCTTGTTGAGGGAGTGGGAATCTGCTCCAAGCTCCAGGTTCTGCTCCTGCAGGTAACTTGTTTGCCTCTCTAGGATGGCGATCTGTCTTCTCTTTTCCTTCTTCAGGCTGTTCTTTTGCTTGAGCAGATTGTTTACCAGTGAGATCATTGTCTTTTCCTCTGAGTTTTGGTCCTGGGTGTTGTTGATCTTTGGTGGTCCATCTTCGCTTGGGACCTGGTCTGCACTGTCATCCCGCAGGTATGAGTTGGGCCACTCAATCGGATGTTCACTTGTTGATGGTGATGTGTGTGGGGTTCCTGGGGAGGAATCTGTTTCCATTGCATCTCTGTGCTGCTCAGCATACTGCAGGGCTAAAAATTCAGAAAAGGTGTTCTCTGTTGGCAGCGCGTCGTAGCGGTTAGGGGAAGTTGGGAATCCACCTGTGGCATTTGCACTTGCATTAGACTCTTTCTTCAGGATACTCATATGCCTGGTATGTGCCAGCCTGATTTCCAAGTCTACGTCTCTGTGTACCTTCAGCGATTCAATGTATTCGTCCAGCCATTCCAGGGTGCTGTTTGAGTCCTCTTCTGGCATTGTGGTTTGGCTGGAGTCTGCCGTTATTGCTGGTGGTGCTATGTCCAGGTGCATTTCGCTTTCCCTGCTAAATGCACCTGGACATAGCACCACCAGCAACAACAACCCATGCTAAAAAGTTAAAACTAGTGTAAAATGCCTTTTTGCGTTTGAGGCCGTGCCCAAAGATTGTCGTTGATTTGGACGCGCTTATGCATGATGAGCTGGATAACCACTTTTTTTTTTTTTTTTTTTTTTACTTCTAAACCACGAGTGCATCCGAGCCTTTTTTTTTTTTTTGCTACACAGATTTCTGTTGTGTTCCAAGTAATGCCGAATCAGCATGTGCGTGAAATTGCATCTTTTTGCTTGCCGCCACCAGCCTTTTTTCGTTTCGTAGGCCGAGCCCCAAAGTACACAGTGTGCTAAACCACCAGTTCATCCGAAGCTAAATTGTGAAACCAAAAAATGCATTTTGTCAAGCCTGAAAGGCGAGAGCACACCAAAAAAAAAAAAAAAAAAAAAAAAAAACAATGAACACCAACTTCTTGCCTCCAATAATCAATACAACAAAACAATGTAGCAGCTCTAGTATGATGTCACTGCCTACACTACTCTCCTACTTGCTCTACACACCCACTTCTCTCCCTCACACTCTCTCCATTCACTACCGTCTCACCCAGCAATGCTGCAGAATCTGATCACTATGACTGTGCTCCTTCGCCATCCTCAGGTAAGCGTTGCCAGCCCCCACCACTGTCCTTCTCCTCGAACCCTGAGACGCAGCTCCAACACTGCGGCTGCGCCTCACCTCCTTTCTTCAATCAGTGCTCACTGGCCCGCTGTGCGCTCTTGCAGCGCTACGGTAGTGCTGGAAGCCAGTGCCTCCAAATGTGTGAAGTCATTGAAATGCCATTGCCTCCCTTCCTTTTGTCTTTTCCTTGAGGCCGTGCGCTGGGCGACTGAGAACCAACAGGGTCCAGGTGTGGGTCCCAGCCTCTTCAACTTACTCAGAGGCTGGGCCTACGGCTAGATGGTTCCAGGCCTGGGTCCCAGCCTCTTCAACTAACACAGAGGCTGGGCCTATGGCTAGTTGGGGGGAGTCTGGGGTCCATCCTTCCCCTTCCAACCGTATCATGCTGGCCTTCAATTAGGGCCGGGCATATTATCTCTTGTCGTTCCAACGCACAACACGCACACCATTTTTTTTTTTTTTTTTTTTTTTTTTTTTAAGCCTTTTAAGGCTAATTCGGAAATTCTTTAAGCCCATCCAATTCAAATCCCTGTCGAATCTGGAGAGGACAGGCCTTTCAGGCCCTTTTTATTGTCATTATAGTATTACGGGGAACCTGTTCCCTCGTTGGAGGCTTGAGCACGGATGTGGCTGCTATGTGGACCATTTCGCGATTTATGTGTGTCACCCTTGCGCAGGGGCCATGCTAATCTTCCTTCTCTGTATCGTTCCAATTTTAACAGATCTCCCGAAGGACACAACAACAACAACACGCACACTTATGTGTGACACATGTACCGAAAATACGGTCTATCATTTGGACAGCGTCTTCATGTAACTGCCAGAAAACACGGCGGTCATTTGTTTCCATTTCTGTATTTATGAATTTTATTCACAATGCACCTTGTGCACACAAACAAGCACACCTGCAGCACACCTGAGGCGAGGTCCCACTAGCAAGGAGGATTCGGGACATCCGTTAAAATTGGAACGATACAGAGAAGATTAGCATGGCAAAAAAAAGCGTCTGAATCGGGATGTGTTTTGTGCAGAGATGCAGAGAAGCAGTTCAGAGATGCAGGAAAGGAGATCAATCATCAATCTCAATTTCATGCACCTCTCCACAAACGCGTCCAGATTCAGGCATCCAATCCAATCCTTTTTGGTAGTGGGGTCCCAGATATGCAGAAAAGCAGTTCAATCTCGATTGCATGCACCTTTCCACAAACACGTCCAGATTCTGGGAATTTTTGACATTAAATCCAATCCTCATTGCTTGTGGGACTTCACCCCTGGGGCCAGGTTCCACATGGATTAAGAGATACATATTGCCCGTGGATTGTTGTTGTTATCTACAATAAATCTCTCTCTAACCACTGGTTTGCGAATGGTTGAAAATTTGAAAAATGATAAAAAATCGCACTCCTGTGAGCGCCCCACGATGTGGAGGTGCTTTCGGCCTACCAGCCACAGGGGCGGCCGACACTGGCGTGCAAAAAAATTGTGCCCACTGACTTTGACGATTTTTTGGGCTTATAATGTTGCGCAGAAAAATCAAGATAAAATCAGGGCCGCAGGTTTGCTGCTGAATTGCGCTCATCTTTCCAGGAAATATATTTGAAAATGGAAAGGAAAAACCAAAATTGTAAGATGGATGAAACAAATTTTGCGGCAAACTTACGCAATTTTTTTTTTGCCACTTTTTTATATTTGACGATATATACTGCTACTGGCAGGCCGAACATTTTTTTTTTTTTTTTTTTTTTTCTCTTTTGGCCTGTACCAGTAGTCCAATTTTTTTTTCCTTCTAAGGGACTGGTGGTTTAAGCTGTGCAAGTTAGAGCCTCCACCAAAACTGATGTAGAATTTCAGAAATCGAAATATGTGGTGCATAAATACTAAATACTTTAATACTAACAATTTCTAAAATATTATTAAAAAAAAAAAAAAAACGAGCAGAATGTGATTGAGGTGATATCTTGGTGTCGTTGGGAAAAAAAAAAAACAGAACAGAACAGAAGCTTATGGTTCTTGTGAAACTTGTCTCACTGAACTTTGTCCGTCAATATTCTTTCCTTTTTTTTTCTTTTCTTTCGCAATTATCTCAGGTATGCCAGTTCGACTACGATAAGGCTGTGAAACACAAGTTTCGGATGCTAGGAGCCGGGGATTCCAAGCCTATTGTCGATACAGGTGAGACTCTTGCGGTGTTCCGTGACATGTCATGATTCCTGGTCTACTATCCTGGACCAGATTGGATATTCCTGGTCTACTTTTGTGGACCGGATTGGATATTCCTGCCTGGTCTGCTTTTGTGGACCGGATTGGATATTCCTGGTCTACTTTTGTGGACCGGTCTGTTCTCTTTTACCACATTGCAGATTGCTTATTAGCTTACATGCACTGCCCCAGCCTTGCTGAAAATGTTTCATCGGCTGGTCCGAAAAAAGTCGGCGCCGGCACACCGTCGGTCAAAAAAAAAATGGCAGCTGTCATCACGTCTTCGCCTCCGAAAAGGGCCCGCGGACGATGTGAGGCGTGTACTGGTGGGTCAAAGCATCCGACTGACCAAAGGTACTTGCACAGTAATGTGTAGGTGCGAAGCTGGATATATGTGGCTGCAACTCCCAGTATCCGACCAAATTGAAAATGTGTTGGTGCGGACAATCAGCAGGGAAGGAAGTCACACGACAGACTGCAAATCTGTTGCTACGGTAGTTTAAAAGTGGAATGATCCATCAACTGGTTGTCACTCATCGACTGGTCGCCACCAACCAACTGGTCGTAACACTCTCTGCTTGTCGCTCGCCGACTGCCTCTGTTGTTGTGGTGTGGTCCCCTACTGACTGGTCTATGCTTGCTACACACTCACAGTGCTATGGCGATCACTCACCGACTGCCTGTCTGTGACGAGTGCGAGGCTGAGGGAAAACAGGAAGAGCCGAGGGGGAGGAGAGAGAGAGGGAGAGAGGGAGAGAGTGAGAGAGTGAGAGCACACACACACACTCACTCACTCGATACGACCGAGGGTCGGACGCAGACACAGTGGCAAAGACACAAAGTCGAAGTCTTGGATTCCGAATGCCGAAACAGGAGCAAGTCACACTGAGTACGAGCACAGCAACTGAAAACTGGTGCCAGACTGGTCCCCGTACCGTACGGGGAGCCGGTATAAGTACCGGTGACACATACGGTACCAGGGGCATTTCTGCAAAGGCCCTGAGGGCAGAACTGAAAAATGCGGTATTTGAAAGTGGCGCCCGAATTGCAGCATGGCGCCAGTTGTCCAAAATCCTACGGTACCAAAGGAGGGGTTCGGAACAAAAAGGGTGCCAGGCTGAAAACAGGATGCAGCCGAAACAGCAAAAAGATAGACCAGGGATCGAGCCCTGGTGGAGTCCGTAACACTGTCACTCACCAACTGGCCATTCATAAACTGGTTGTCACTTAGAAAGCTCACAGTTGAAACAGGGGGCGCATTCATAAAATATATAATCAAAGACTGGTCTTTCGTTGTCCCTCACTGACCGACTCGTTTTCACAGACTGGTTGTCACTGAGAAAGCTCACAGTTTATGGCTGTCTGGTAATTCGTCACTCGCCGACTGGTTTATAATTGTCAATTTGTCACTGACCAACTCTCATTTTCACTGACTGACTCGTTAATGGTTGGCACTAACTGAGTGGTCTATTATGCTTGTCACTCACTGACTGGTACTAAAGTAATCACATAGAGACATCCTTCGAAAGGGGAAGTGATTGAGCAATCACAACCAGGAGGTGGGGTTGGAAGCAGCCATCCTTCGAAGAAAGCGTAATAGCTAAGTGGTATATAGCTTCATCGTGCCGAAAATGGATCGGGGCTCAAGTGGTTCACCCCCCCCCCCTTTGGAAAGCAGCCAGCCATCCTTCGAAGAAAGCGTAATAGCTCACTGGTCTAGCTTCATCGTGCCGAAAATGGATTGGGCCAAAAGTGGATTCACCGAAAAAATGTTGCAAACAACGCCTCTCCAGGCACACAGCAAGACATGCTAGACACGAAGTGCTTATTGTTTGCACGGTCGATGGGTGTCAGTCACTGAGTGGTCTCGATGGTTGTCACTCACTGAAAGGTCAATAGTTGTCACTGACGGACTCGTCTACGACTGTCACTCAGACGCTCGTCCATGGTTGTCTCTCAACAGCTTCTTGTCACTCCCCAACTGGTTTACGGTTGTCACTCACCAACTGGTTTTGGTTGTCACTCACCGACTGGTTGACGGTCGTCACTCACCGACTGGCTTAGGGTTGTCACTCACACTGACTGGTTTATGGTTGTCACCAGGGTTGCACCCCCCGACGCTCGACAGCCCTTGACTGGTCGGCTGCTGACCCGCCGACCGATCGGCTGGTTGGCACCTAGCGGTCGGGGGTCGGCGGCACCCCGCAATTTTATTTTTTATTTTTTATATTTATTTCCTTTTTCGGGGGGGGTTGGGGGGGGGGTCCAGAACCCCTAATAACACCACCAACAACCCCATAGCGGCCCCTAATACCCCCATACACCCCCCCAAACCGCCCCCAACACCCTCATTACCCCCCCCAATACCCCCTATATCACCCCTATACCCCCCTATACACCTCCTATACCACCCCCTATACTCCAACCCCAACCCCCCCATACCCCCCCCATCCCCAAAAGTTTCTCAGCGGATTCGGGCTGTACTCAGCAAGCACAGTACAGCCCCCAACTCGGATTTGAAAAAAAATCAGTGGATGCCACTGGATGTTTTTTTTTGTTTTTTTTGTTTTTCGACTGGTCGGCAGACCGCCGACCAGTCGGCGGACGGCAGGGATGCAGCCCTTGTTGTCCACTAACCGCGTTGTCTATGCTTGTTGCTCGCAGAGTGGCCGATAGTCGTCGCTCATGGATCTAAGATTGCCTCTCAGCGGCTTGTTGTCACTCATCGACTGGTTTACGGTTGTCACTCACCGACTGTTTTTTGGTTGTCACTCACACCGACTGGTTTATGGTTGTCACAAACCGGGTGCTCTATTGTGCTTGTTACACACAGAGTCGTCGATAGTCGTCCCTTCCGACTATCAGCCATGAGGGGCTTTTCACCGTCGGTGCGGAGTTAACCTGCAGGTAGGTGCTCATGAATGTTGGACGTGACAAGTATTGACAACAATTGTGCATTAGCCTTTAGGCATGTAACTATGGACCACTGCCTAATGCACATTAGGCATGTAACTATTGACCTCTGACAACACTTGTGCATTAGGCATGCAACTACAGACCACTCGGTGGGGGAGGTGCTCGTGAATGTCAGCTGTACACGTATCAATCAGGAATTCAATGCGGCGTACGGCGTATGCAAAATTGAAGACCCAGAATTCACATCAGGAGAACTTCACCTGAAAAGAGAGAGAGTGAAGTAACTGTCAAGTGAGACTAGAGTGAGGCATTCAAGGAACTGTAGTCCACAGGCTCTCTCTCTCTCTCTCTCTCTCCACGCCTTTCTTCCTTTCCGAATGCCCTCTCACCCCAAGTTCAGCTATGGGCTCTCTCTCTCTCTCTCTCTCTCTCTCTCTCTCTCTCTCTCTCTCTCTCTCTCTCTCTCTCTCTCTCTCTCTCTCTCTCTCCAGGCCGCTCTTCCTTTCTGAATGCCCTCTCGCTCTACGACCCCAACTTCAGCTCTGGGTGCCACAGCTGAACTTGGGGTGAGAGGGCATTCAGAAAGGAAGAAAGGCCAAGAGAGAGAGAGAGAGAGAGAGAGAGAGAGGAGAAGAAGTTGTGTGAGAGAGAGAGAGAGAGAGAGAGAGAGAGAGAGAGAGAGAGAGAGAGAGAGAGAGAGAGAGAGAGAGGTGAAGAAGTTTATTCTTGGTTGTTGGTGCTGTCTGCTATGGCCGCTCAGCTTGTGCAATGAAATACGGCTGCAGACACCCGATACACAACTCCAAGCAGACTGAACGTGCACTGAGACATCACAACCCAACAGCATAGCCCAGATCAGCATGCATGGAGAAGAGAACCAACACCGATGTCTTTCTTTTTAAGGACAATCACTCCTCCAACTAAGGAACGGCCATGCACCACCACCCATAGAATCAAGAAAGAAAGAGCTCTCACTCAATCTGTCAATCCTTGCTACTATACAAGAAGGAAATTGAATACAAGCTGTTATGGCCGCTATGGCCTGAGTTCAGAATCAACCATTCCTCTCAATACTTCAGTCTCTCTCTCTCTCTCTCTCTCTCTCTCTCTCTCTCTCTCTCTCTCTCTCTCTCTCTCTCTCTCTCTCTCTCTCTCTCTCTCTCTCTCTCNTCTCTCTCTCTCTCTCTCTCTCTCTCTCTCTCTCTCTCTCTCTCTCTCTCTCTCTCTCTCTCTCTCTGTGCGTGTGTGTGCGTGTGTGTGTGTGTCTGCTCTCTCTCCCTTCTCTCTTACTTGGATCGTTCGCCTTCCTCCCTGAATACACCCACGTTGTTCCGCCCTTGACCTCCGCGGCTATGGCTGCCTTCGTCCTCAACCTCCTAACCCTCTCGTCTGAAAATTAGGGTCTCCGTTAACCTTCTCTCCCTAACCCGAGCTAAGGCAACCAGACGCCTTCTTCCCCGCGGGGCACTTGCGCCCCTCCAGCGCCCACCTTCCATCCACGTTGCACTATCGCACAAGCAGCCAGCAGCGCTTCCACAACTTGCACATGAACTGCGCCTGCTTGTTGGTGCTCCTGGGCTTTTATACTTGCTGATCCGCCTTCTCTATATCTTCTGTTGATTATGGGTTAGTCCCCTTGGCTTTGTTTGCTGCTTCTGGAAGCTTACGCACTCTTCTTGGATTTGGCTACTTGGGTGGATCGACTGACACCTGCCTGGCCTAACGACTCCGGCCGATCTTGGCTGAAGTTTGTGGTGCCTTCTAATGACAGGCTCTTCAACCCATAACTATTATCTACCAGAGTTTCCTACCAGGATCTACTTAACTAGCCCGCCTAGGGCCTCTGCAGTCATGGTACAAACGAAAACTCCTCTTCTGAAATATTCGTGAATATTGTACAACTGGCTGGAACCACTAATGGAACACGGAATGAAATTTGTGATTAGGGTTCTGGGACTCAGGACTGGGACCCGGGACTCGGGACTGGGGCTCGGGGACCGGGAACCCCACTTTTTTCAGCTCCTGAGTAACGCGTTGAGAACTGAAGTTAGCGCCTGTTTTTGTTTTGGTTCAAGGTTGCTGTGTGCCTGCTTTCTTGTATCTTTAGGCAACGACAGAAGACTAGTATCTGGGATGAGACTTATGGACGATGTGTCTGTATTCTTTACGTTCCGGAAAGGTCACAGAAGATCTATCGAGATCACCAATGGTATTCGTAAGAAATTTGAGAAGTGCTACCCCAGACTGCTGTCGCTTAAAAGGACGGATGATAAATCCGGTACGTGGGATTTTATCGGGTGCCGTTTGGAGATAGGCCAGCATTACCCTTTTGTGAGGAGTACGCAACTGACGAAGACCCAGGGGACTATCTGGCGACCTGGGCCTGTACTTCTGAAGTCAGGCCAGGATTCGTACTCTTGGTCTGACCTGAAGCAGAAAAAAGCAGCTATCACAGGGTGGCCGTGCCGTAATTAACTGCAACACCACCGCGCGCTCAGCAATTCCCAAGCAGGTTTTGACCCTGCGACGTGAATATCGGGCCAAAAGTTTTTCCGACTCTTTTTTCGGGAAAAGTTGTGCGTAACTTCGCGCAGCCTCGAGACGGAATTTGGCGGTACTCATCGGAGTTAGTAGCAGTGTAGACGTACCTAGTTCGGGCGAAGATTTGTATAAGTAGGATTGCTGTTTCTTTTTCAGTCCTTTTCAGCATGTACGGCTCCGGGGTTCTCTCCGGTTTCGGTTGGTGGAAGTAGACGGTGAAGTCAGGGGAGAAGAAAGGGGGACGAGACAAGTTGACTCTCGAGTCCGTTTGGCGGTACTCTTGGGTTGTCGCTTTCTCAATGAATGTGGGTTGTCGCTTTCTCAATGAATGCTAACTAAAAGTTAATTGTTTGAGTGGTGTTCCTTTCCAGCAACTGTTTTTCATACAGCTTCGCTCCCGAATCATTTTTGTGTTGAAATTGAATTTGTTGAGGTTCATATAACAAAACAGCCATCAATGTTTGATAATTAACTTCTAAATGAGATGGTTTGTTTTTTTAAATTCGGTTATATCTTATATTTTTTTGTTGTTTCGGACTTCGGTTCTCGACGGCGATTGTGTCTTAGTGTGCACTGTGTGTCACTCAGTCCTGTCTACCTGTTGTGAACTCTCATTAACTGTTGTCGAGTTTGACTTCAGTTGTCTAACCTCTACTTTGGTATCATTTGGGGCCATTGGAATTTCCTCTCCTGAGAGTTCTGAAATTTCTTAAGATTTTTCATTTTTGAAATTGGAATGTTGCCGAAATTTCATGTAAGTGCACTTTTGCCTTGCCCTTTTTTTTTCTTTTTCTTTTTTTGCCTAGTAGGCTAGTAGTTAGTATGATCTCCACTCTATGAATTTGTGGCCGGTGTGGTTTAAATTACCTTACCTTTGGGTTTTTGTTATAAATGGAATGAGCATTTGTCTGAACATTGAGGCCTCCGACGCCCTCCGTTAAGTTAAACCCCCGCCTCTCCTATCCTATCCTCTCCTACGTGCGGTGCGCTCCTTAAATTTACTCTTCTGATTCCATCTGGATTCGAACAGCCCACGAGCTACCGATAGACTGAGGATGAGTATGGTGCACTCAAATCAAAATATGCGTACCCTTCTCTTTCTGTCGTGTCGTTTCCTGCTGACTGCAGCTCGAACCATGGGTCGAGGGGTGCCCGGACCAGGGGAGGAATGGGGTCAGAAGACCATGTTCAGAAAGCTCAGCAATGTGCGTGCCGCTTCCTGGAGCCCCGACGTGATACGGTACCGCTACTCAGGAGGCATCTGCCCAAAAGAATACAAGGCAAGTTCTGTTATCAGTGTATGTGTGTATCAAGCTGAAACTGTTGCTTTGGAAACACGTGTGTGTATGTGTGTATGTGTGTATGTGTGTATGTGTGTATGTGTGTATGTGTGTATCAGTGTATGCATGGGTGGGTGGGTGGGTGGGTGGGTGGG